CGTTGAGCCTCCCTCCTTGCGCGATTCTCCCCTTCCTGCTCCATTTGCCTCTTTATTCCTTGGAACTGGAGGAGTGTCTGTTCTGTAAAGAAGGTTGTTGGGGCTAGATCCTCTCATCTGCCCAACTTTTCCCTTGCCTTCATGATCCATTGGTATCGCAAGATAGTCCCCCATTGATCGAGCCAATCGCTGAACTCATATCCGAACTCTTCTATCCATTTGTCCTTTTTCTCACCCGGCTGCTCCCTTCTTCCCCGTTCTTCTCTTGTGGGCGTTGTTACCTCATCTTCCTCCTCCTCACTGGTGAGGTCGATAAATTCCACGGGCACGTCCTCGTCCAACCTTGGTCTTTTCCCCGGGTTCCTCTCTTCCTCACTGCTAGTGACGCTTTCCGATGGGAGGACTATCGGCTCCCCTTCCTTTACTGGCGATGGTCCCCTGGTCCCTTGCTTTCTCCCTCCCCTATTCACAACCAAGTTGTGATCAAATCCCACGTACAATTTCCTTTTCCTAAAGCTCGATTGTCCAGCCTGCCTTGACGACTGTCCCTCAGTAGGCCTATTGATAGCGTTGCTGTCGTTTTCATTTCCAAATTCCATTTTTGCCGTTTTCTGTTTGCTCCCCGCCTGGTCCTGTTCATGCATAATCAATCACCACAACCCACTCCCCATATACTCACATTCCTTCCCATCCCCATTTGCAGATTTGTCGGCCTTCTCAGAACCCTTGCTTGCCCTTGTGCGGTTGGTGATCCCGTCCCCCCCCCGTTGTACCCTCGACACATTGTCCCAACACGTAGGGGCCCCATGTAGACAGTCCCCAGCGTTACCCCACAAAAACTATAATACACTGTCCCATGCTCCCAGACCCAGTCACAGTCAGCCCAGGCAGTCTCCCCACGTTCCACAAAAGTCAAGACACACAAAACGAACAATCCCTGTGGTCATGATCACTTCCACAAGGAGGCGGTCCAAAACTTATAGCCAGCTACCCGCCTCTCAAACTGTCAACCCCCCAGTTTCCCTGTCCTGGGCTTCTTGTAGCCACTGTTCCAATGGATCCCTGCTCAAAATGTGTTCAGTCCGACGCGATCTTCAAGTTCAAATGTGTTCAGTCCGACGCGCTTAGCGATCCTGTAGGGCCCTTTGAATCTTTTTCCCAGCTGCCCGGACCATGTGCTTTCCAGAGCCGAGTTCCTAATTAGCACCTTTTCCCCCACCTGGAGTGGCTCCTTCCGAATGTTCTTAACCTGGTCCCATCTTGTTTTATCCCTCATTCGGCTATCCGTCACACGATTGACTACTTCCTCGAGCGCCTCCTCATTTCTGGCAACCTGCTGACAACGAGCGGTGATTAACTCTTCCGTGCTCAAGTGTGGGTCATCATCTAGCCTGTTCCAGGTAGGGACCAAAGCTTCTATCGAAAAATCGATCTCCCTTCCATACCAGAGTTCTGCTGAAATACATCTCGTTGTTCTTTTTGGAGTTATGTTCTCAGCGAAGACTGCCTGCTTGAGAAACCGTGGCCAACTTCCCAAATTATCTGCTGCCAACTTTGCGATTGTGTTCTTCAAAGTCCGGTGACCCCTTTCTACCGGTGCATTTGCCTCAGGATGGTAGGGCTCGATGATCTTGATCGGTACACAGAGTGTCTTAAGCCTGTTCAACACCTCCTGGTTAACGAATTATGTCCCATTGTCTGCTATAAACCTGCACACGAAGGGGTGCCTTAGGTAGAAGTCCTCCACCCAGTCCGCCACTGCTTTCCCTGTCTTCTTCTTGAGGGCTACGGCGTCTACATAGCCACTAAGATTATCCCTTGCATCCAAGATGTATCTAAACCCGTCCGTCGATACGGGCATAACGACAAGGTCGAGGTGAACAAGGTGTCCGGGTCCCAGTACCCGGGTGGGTCTAAGGGGCTCGTAAACCCGTACGGAGCTCCTCTCTTGACATATCAGACACGTTTGACAATACGTTGTGACCATGCCTGCCATTCCTGGCCAGAAATACAGGGGCACAATCTTTGCAAGTGTCCCCTTTGACGACCGGTGACCCCCAGCTAGCCCATCATGCATTGCCTGAATTATGTCCAGCTGCCTAGACCTCCCGCAGACGACGCGTCTAGGCATCATCCCTTCCTCTCTCTTGAACAGGTGGCCATTTCTTAGGACGTACTTTTCTACTTCCTCCCTTGCCTTGGGACTGACTTCCGTGGGTTATTTGTTCCCGACAAGCAACAAGCCGATTCTTTGAAAACGCCCTCATACATTTGTACGAGGAAGAATTCCTATTCGTTCTGATCCCCACCCTGCTCCTCCCGAGTGAGGTTGATTAGGTACTGACACTCCTTTTGCGCCAAGGTTTCAGCCAATGTCATTACGACGTCCCGTCCCCCTTCCACGGTCATTGCCATCAATTCCTCTCTGGCCCCTACTTCTGCTCCCCACGAGTCTTTTTCCTCTTTACGCCTGACCGTGGTGACTGGTTCTTCCTTGAGTTCTGCAACTACTGCAGGTGCGCCCTTTTCCAGGGTCTGAATCAGCAACTGTCCTGTTGTAATTGCCGGATCTGCCATCTCATTATCCACGACAAGGGTCCCTCCTTCGTACTCCAGGAAGGCGTCAATTGGTT